GTGAGCCACCGTGCCCGGCCTTGTTCAAAGTTTTAATATAGAAAAAATATATTTGTGTCAAATCATTTTTAGCAGTCATGAATACTCAGGAGTGCTTTGAAAATAGCTGTAAACATGAAATATTTATAAACATGGGCCAAGTTATATTGGTAAACAATTTGAATGATTGTAGTAATTTAATCAATGTAAGCTAGAAGCCAGGTGATGATTTCATAAGTTATATAAAGTTAATGTAGATGTAGTAAAAACATTTATATATCTAGACTCTATACCTTCTGCAGGAAACATTATTTCTAACTTCCTCTGTTTTATGGTTTTCTGAAAAGTAATATAACATCATTTTTATATTTTCTAATGAGTTTATGTCAAAATAGTTAAACATTTAAACAAAAGGTAAAGCTTTATTGGATTCTGGATGAGAATAATCTGGCTACATTTCTGTTCGATTTAGGATTATGAAACTATTATCAGAGGCTGACATAAGAATATTAATACTTTACAATATAAGGCTTGCATTTTCTTCGTGATCGGTGTCCAGGAAGTCAACCTCAAATTAAACATAGCTCAAAGCTGTCATGATTTTTCTTAAACAGCTATTATGGATTTATCATCCTTGAATGCATTAGATAAATTATACTTGAGTTTATTGTATTTTAAGGTTAAGTCATCAGTAATTGAACAAGTACTCTCTCAGCTCTGTAAAATGGTAATTTTGTTCTCTATTTCTTAAACTTTTTTCATTAGCTCCTAAGGTAAACCCATAGCTCAAATATCCTAGGATTTTATTTTAAAAGCCTATGTTTAGCTTCTCTAAAATTGTACATCTTATAGACTTTGATCATTGTATCCCCACCCAATTTATATCATTCCAGATTAAAATGCTCTGTTTGTATCTTATCATATGGGATTTCTCCTCCCACTTCCATTAGCTTTTAGGGGGAAACTATAGGTTCTGAAATATAAAAATCACATACTTTTAAAGATAGGTGGGAAAATTAGCCTGACAATTTTTTACAAGAACAAGTGGGAATGAGGTAGGAAACCTACTTAATAGATACAATAATCAAAATTTTATTTATTATTCTCTGAGCCTTAATATAACCCAATCTGTCATTTGTAGTAGTTTCAGAACTATCCTCAGACTTCTATTAATAACTACCATTTTGTTCTTATTTTTCTAATACTGAAACAAAATGATCAAATTTGTCAAAAGACAAAAATGACATCTTATTTAAAATGTAAAACCAAAGCACTTAATTCTTCTGGTTATTTTAGACCTCATAATTTTTGGCTGAATTATTTTTTTGCCATTTGAAATCTACCTTTTTTAAATCACTTTTTATGATTTCGACCAGATTTAACATTCTTCATTTTTAAATACAAATGTCAAGAGATACTGGATGGTGTTGCTTAAGTTCGTGATTTTTAAAAAGAATCTTCAATAAAACAATTTAGAAAGTTAATGATAGAGAAAAGGAGGTAAAACAAATGAGAACTAGTTGTAGAGTTATAGAAAAAGGCTTCCTTCATTGTAACTTTCTATATGTCTGTTAATGAAATTATCCTCAGACCACTGAGATTAGAATCTAAGAGTTAAATTTGGAGTCATTTAGACCTGGCTTTGAGTAGGTGCTCTGACACCAACTAGCTATGTGATTATGGTCAAATTTTTAATCTTTCCAAACCCTAGTATCTTTTATCTATAAAATCATGATATCCATACCAATTAAATGCAGTTTTTTGGAAAAATTAAATGAGATAATATATGTAAAGCAAGTTAGCATAATGATTGGTTTATTGGGAGCCATTAATATGGTCCTTTAATATGGGTAGCTACACTCATCAATATTTCCTTCTCACCCTTCTCTCACTAATTTTTCTCCCTGAGTGGATCCCAAAGTCTTCCTTACTTCACCTTTAAATAACTTTGTAAATTTAATCATTCTGCTATATATACCCAAGGGCATCTTCACCTGTCTCTTATATAATTTAGGTGCCTCAACAGCCTCTTAAATACTTTGCATACCTTTTGTCTCTTCCTATTCCATTCCTGTTTAAAGGGTATAAGTGTAGAGTTTCCTAAAATCTTGAAAATAAGGCTACCCTTTGAGACTTAAGCAAGTAATATCCACATATATAGGATGTGTTTGTTCTTATGCAGAAATCATAGGAAGAATTAACGCTATAGGAGAAAAGGTGTTGCCCTATAATTCAAGGATATAGATTGTACTTCTTTTGAGACCAAGTTTTAATAATAGATTTATTGACAAATTTAAAAGCACATTGGCTCTAACCACCAATCTCCCCCTAATATTCTTCAGAATGCAGCTAGAATCGTCCGTGCTCTTTTTGAAATTGCTCTGAGGAAACGTTGGCCTGCCATGACCTACAGGCTCCTGAATCTTAGTAAAGTCATCGACAAGAGGCTATGGGGTTGGGCTAGCCCTTTGAGACAATTTTCAGTTCTACCACCACATATCCTATCAAGATTAGAAGAAAAAAACCTTACTGTGGATAAGCTAAAAGACATGAGGAAAGATGAAATAGGTAAGAAGGAAGCAACATGTTTGAATGAGTTGTTCTGTGCAAATAAAATATTTTACTAGATGTAAAAGTATTGTGAATTTTCACATTACTCAAGCTAAATTTTCACCATATTTATAAATCTCTTTTTCATTTGTCTAAACTCAAGCAAAAATCTCTCTAAATTTTATAAAGTTACTTGACAGAATTACCAATTAAAATGGAGTTTGTATTATTAAACCCTTAAGTGTAGTATCTTACATATAGAATCTTAGCTACAAATTACGAGAATCATTCAGTGATGCTTATTCTCAATTTATTTTTCAATATTTAATTCATTTCAAAGTCTCTGATGTATATCAGCAGTATTACAGC